AAAAGAGCAGGAAATTGGGAGCTGAAGGAAAAGCAGCTCCTGACTTACCTCATTGTTTCTCCCGAGGTGAGCTGAGCTGCCCACTATCTCATCTGCTCTAAATACCGAAGCTCAATGTGCCCATTTAAGGCAGACGGCCTCGGCCTTGACTTTCCAGATTCCAATCACTCTTGTCCTTTCTCATCTATCTTCTGAAGTGACAGCTTTTGTAAGACGAACTCAAGGACAATAGGCTTCCTCTGGAGAGGGAGCTGCGGGACGGGCAGAGTCCCCTCTGCAGTGTGGAAGCCCATCTGTCCGGTCAAGCTCAGCAGGTGGGTCAGCCCTGGAACACTGACCCCCTCCTGGGATCTAGCATGCCAAGCCTGCTTCTCAGAGCAGCACGTCAGAACACCACGCCAGGGAGCACAGCTGAGAGCTCGCCTGTAATAACCACCAGTCATTCTGGGGGTCCTAATTTTGGTACTAATGTTTAACACCCACCAAAACTACCCCTTTGATGTTCTTTTTTCCAACCTTCAGATATCAGATGTGGTGCCTTCCATACTTAGTCACTGAATCACAATACAACCAATTCCTTATTCTGGCAGGAAAAAATAATTCATATGAAAACTTGCTTACAAAGATGCGTGCATGCAAATTCACTGAAATGTAATCAAAACACACTTTACATTTTCCACTGACTTTTTTTTTAAAGATTTTTTTTTTTTTTTTTTTTTTTATCGCAAAGTCAGCTATACAGAGAGGAAAATCTTCAGTCCACTGATTTACTCAAGTGGCTGCAACTGCTGGAGCTGAGCCGATCCCAAGCCAGGAGCCAGGAGCTTCTTCCGGGTCTCCCACACGGGTTCAGGGTCCCAAGGCCTTGGGTCGTCCTTGACTGCTTTCCCAGGCCACAAGCAGGAAGCTAGATGAGAAGTGGAGCTGCCGGGATACAAACTAGTGCCCATATGGGATCCCGGGGCATGTTCAAGGCTAGGAATTTAGCCGCTAGGTTACTGCGCTGGGCTCTTCTGTTGACTTTTGAAGACTTCACAGACACATTACTTTTGTGTGTAAATCCATGTATAAAAGAATCCCTTCTATCAATATAGGTTTGATGACATCTATTTGAAAGCCATCACATGAGCTCAACTGCGCATCAGCACCAAGAACTGTGCCTTTACAATTCCAGGTGGCTTTTACCCTTAAGAATGGCACGAGATAGGGCTGGTGTGGCAGAACAGTGGGCTAATCCTCCACCTGTAGCATTGGCACCCCATATGGGCACTCTTTGAGTTCTGGCTGCTCCACTTTCAATCCAGCTCCCAGTAAATGACCTGGGAAAGCAGAAGAGGATGGCACCTGTACCCAAGTGAGAGACCTGAAGAGGCTCTCAGCTCTTGGCTTTTATCAATTCAGCTACAGTCATTGCAGCCCTCTGGGGAGTGAACCAGCAGAAAAAAGGGCCTCTTATCTCTTTCAAATAAGATAAGTCAATCTTAAGAAAAATATTTATTTAAAAGGCAGGGTTTTACAGAGAGAGGAGAAACAGAGAGGTCTTCCATCCTCTGGCTTACTCCCTAAAATGGCCAGAGCTGAGCTGAACTTGACCCAAAGCTGGAATTCAGGACTTCTTCCCAGCCTCTCACGTGGCTTCAGGGGACCAAGGACTTGGGTCATCCTCTGTTGCTTTCCCAGGTTGTTCGTAGGTAACTAATTCGAAGTAGAGCAGTCAGAACTGGAACTGGCACCCATATGGCGTGTTGGTGCTTACGAGCAGATTAGCCCAATATGTCACGTTGCCGGCCCCAATAAATCTTTTAAAAATGACAGGGGCCAATGCAATGGGCTCAACCGGCTAATCCTCTATCTCCAAGCGCCTGCATCCCATGTGAGTGTCAGCCTGTGTCCCAGCTCCACCTCCCAGCCAGCTCCCTGCTTGCAGCCTACAAAAGCAGTCGAGGATGACCCAGAGCCTTGGGACCCTGCACCTGCAGGAGAAGCCTGGAAGAAGCTCCTAGATTTGGATTCAGTCAATTGCAGCTTTTGTGGAAATTTAGGGAGTGAACCAGTGATGGAAGATCTTTGTTCCTTCTTCTCTCTGTAAATCTATGTTTCAAATGAAAATAAGTAAATCTTTAAAAATCTGATAGATGACAAAAATTCTTTGAATTATCAGTTATTGGGCCTGGCACGGTGGCTAAAGTCCTAGCCTTGAATACGCCAGGATCCCATATGGATGCCGCTTATAATCCTGGCAGCTATGCTTCCCATCCAGTTCCCTGACTGTGGCCTGGGAAAGCAGTCGAGGATGGCCCAAAGCCTTGGGATCCTGCACCCATGTGGGAGTCCTGGAAGAGGCTCCCGGCTCCTGGCTGGCTTCAGATTGGCTCAGCTCTGATCATTGTGGACACCTGAGGAGTAAACCATCGGATAGAGGAGCTGTTTCTCCTTTATGTATGTCTGACTTTCCAATAGAAAATATTTAAATAAAAAATTAAAATATACCTCGAAAATCATAAAATATTGGTAGGATAAAAGATTATCTAAATAAGCGCCCAGCATAGTGGCCTAGAGGCTTAAGTCTTCACCTTGCACGCACTGGGATCCCATATGGGCTGCAGTTCTTGTCCTGGCAGCCTCATTTTCCATCCAGTTCCCTGCTTGTGGCCTGGGAAAGCAGTCGAGGACGGCCCAAAGCTTTGGGATTCTACACCTGTGTGGGAGACCTGGAAGAAGCTCCTGGCTTCGGACTGGTTCAGCTCCAGCCGTGGTGGCCACTTGGGGAGTGAACCATCAGAAGAATATCTTCCTCTCTCTCCTCTCTGTATATCTGACTTTCCAATAAAAATATATATATTTTTAAAGATTTATTTTTTATTTTCATTACAAAGTCAGATATATGGAGAGGAGGAGAGACAGAGAGGACTATCTTCCATCCAATGATTCACTCTCTAAGTGACCGCAACGGCTGGTGCTGTGCCAATCTGGAGCCAGGAGCCAGGAACTTCTTCTAGGTTTCCCATGCGGGTGCAGGGCCCCAAGGCCTTGGACCATCCTCGACTGCTTTCCCACACCACAAGCAGGGAGCTGGATGGGAAGTGGAGCTGCTGGGATTAGAACCGGTGCCCATATGGGATCCTGGGGCATGTTCAAGGCGAGGACTTTAGCCGCTAGCCCATGGCGCTGGGCTGCCCCCACCAAAAAAAATATATGTATATATTTATTTAAAAATTACATAAGTGGGCCCGGCGTGGTGACGCAAGTGGTTAAAGTCCTCGCCTTGCACGCCCGGGATCCCATATGGGCTGCAGTTCTTGTCCTGGCAGCCTCATTTTCCATCCAGTTCCCTGCTTGTGGCCTGGGAAAGCAGTCGAGGATGGCCCAAAGCTTTGGGACCCTGCACCCGCGTGGGAGACCCAGGAAGAGGCTCCTGGCTTTGGATCGGCATAGTATTGGCAGTTGCGCTCACTTGGGGAGTGAATCATCAGAAGGAAGATCTTCCTCTCTGTCTCTCTCTGTATATCCGCCTTTCCAATAAAACATAATAAAAAAATAAATCTTTTAAAAAAATTACATAAGTAAGAGGAACAAGCCCATGTTCTTTACTGGAAGACTCAGCAATGTTAACATAGCAAATATGCCCTAACTACTCAGTTTCAACAATTTCTGTCAGTATCCCAGCGAATATCTTTGCAGAAATTGACCAACTACTTCCCAAACTGACATGGCAAACAAAGAGATCATGAACAACATTCATCTGAAACATGAAGGATTCCTAGACCTCAAAACAAAACAAACAAAAAAACCCCCAATAATCCAGCAAGTCAAAGGATCCTGACAGACACCTCCGCATAGAAACACAAGTGGCTAGGGTAGGCGTTGTGGCGTGGCAGGTCAAGTGGGTGACTGGGCACTCCTGCGATCTAAACCCGAGTGTTGACTAGTGCCTCAGCCTCCCCTTGCAATCGCACCCTGCTAGTGTGGCAGGCAAGGCAGAGTGTGGCTCCAGGCATTCTGTCCCTGACCTCAGATGGAGTTCCTGCCTTGTGGCATTGACCTCGTGCAGCCCTAGTTATTGCTGGCATTTAGGCAGTAAACCTCTGCATTAAAAACCTTTCTCGTCCCTTCTCCCTAGTTCTCTGGCCTTCTGCCTTTGAAGTCAATCCACCTCTCCACAGATACAAATGGCTGACTAACTCACTGAAAGAAAGCACACTGTTCCTCCGCCCTGAACAGGCACCAGTATCCGTATGATACCAGTTCAAATTCTGGCTGCTCCAGCCCAGTCCAGCTCCCTGCTTAGGCCAACTTGTGCTGCTTTCCCAGGCCCTAAGTCCACATGGGAGACTGTGGATTAGCTCAGCTTTGGCAGTTGTGTCCACATGGGACGTGAACAAGCAATTGGCAAACCTGAGTTTTGCCTCAAATAAATAAATTTTAAGCAAATCAGAATCCTTATTCACCATTGGTGAGGATTTACAACAGTTGTAAGTATCTGGGAAAATAGAATGGCAGCTCTGATCCTCCAAGGTAGCTATCATATGTCTCAGCAGTTCTAGTCACAATAGACACACACAGAAAAACACAAACTTGTTCAGATTCTTGCACCGGTATTATTCACAACAGTCAGTTTCCAACAGCAGACGGATGGATAAGTAAAGCTTGGTCCAGCCCTACAAAGGAACACTTGTGAGCCACCAGAACATCAAATTTGATATATGCTACTGTGTGAAAGAACCTGGAGCATATGCTGCCTGCAAGCCAGAGCAGGAGGCCACAAAACGGTATGATCTCATTCAAACCAAAGTCCACAGTAAGGAGACCTAGCTGGCTTAGTGATTGCACAGAGGGTGGGGTGGGCCAGGACAGGGCGTATATGGGGAGGCACACAGCTAAAGGCTTTCCTTTTCAGATGACATAAACATTCCAAAATTCATGGTGATAGTGGTGTCCTGCTTGTAACTGTATTACAAGCTGCTGAACCATACAGTCTAAATAGGCCTGGTAATGTTGGTTATATCTAAGAAAGCTAAAAGCTAGCATCAAAAAAAGATCATTTATATGAAATGGCAATTATTCCTGGTATTTAGAGGTTACTTTTGGGCTGCAGATTAGCATTCCAGAAACCAAACTAGAGCCACTGCCACGCCTAACTCGGCTGAAGGTAGGACATACATTATAACTCACATCAAGATGCTTCCCAAACATTCATGCGAAGATAAGATGCAAACCCACATGTACTTTGTCCCAACAGATCCCTGACAACCATGAACAGCTTCTCCATCAGTCTCCTGAAGGCTCCTCCAAGAGTACCACCAGGCACTGCCAGCTCAGTGTGGCAGCAATGAGCCCAAGCCCACCTGGAAGGCAACTTGTGCAGATAAGCCACCGAAATCCCCAAATTCTCTCAGGTCAGAGGTTTCAAACAGATGGAGACAACATGTTTTACTAAGTTTTAAACTCAGCTTTTCTCTCAACAATCTGCAGAACAGTTTCTTTCAAATGAGTAGGATAAATGCTATTTTCTATGGGTGGGTTGATTTGTGCAAGGTGGTTAATGAGTCGAGTTGCTTACTGTGCGTCAAGCACACCAGACAACGGAAGCAGTTACGCTGTGTGTTCTAGCCCTGGCAAGTCTCACTTCATCAGGATGCGGCATAAAAGCTAGCCTGCCTCGTTTTCTGGCAAGAAAAAACAAACAAGACCGAAGATTCAGCTAAGGCTAGCTTGAGCGCCTCTCTTGAATTATCACGGAAGAGCCATCTTCAATAAGACACACATGCATAAAAACACCAAAGTTGTGCCACTCAAGGAATTTATTTTCCCACTAAATAGGACTCCTGTGTTCAGGGCTAATTAGAGCTGCCGTTCCAACCAAGATTTCTGTAAGATTTCCTTTTCTCATCAAAATTAAGATTTCTATGGAAAGAAAACAAAACAAAAATACTCTCTCAAGGGGTGTGAGTGGGGGGGAAAAAAAAAAATCAAACCTCTACAGAACAGTTACAATTCAGTCGCGTCTGGAAAGGGTCACCAGCACCAACTACGGACACCCTCAGCACTGACCAGTGCCAGGGCAGGCCTGCCCCGGGTGGGCTCCTCCTCATGTGACACACAGGTTGAGGGGTCTGACACAGGGAGCTTTCCCCAAGGGGTCTGAACAGGCCCAGAGCGCGTCACTCAACAGGCTGCGCGAGGACACGCCTAGCGACAGGTGCACTTGGTCGCTATCATGTCTTCATACTCCTTGTAGGCAATCGAGCTGTCGGGCTCGATGGTCAGGACGCTCAGGGGGCTGTATCTGGCGGGGACACATGACGGTCTTGGCACCGAGGAGTCCAGCTTCTCATAGATGATGTTCTGCACCATTGTGTGGACCGGGGAGCCGTAGCGATGCCCGACAGCCCGGGGGCAGTCCCCTTTGCAGTAGCGAGGGTTGTACCTGTGTGGAGCCACAATCCAGTTGTGCCACTTCAGCTGACTAAAACTCAGTCGAAAGTCATGGAGCTCACACTCGTTCTGGGGAAAAACAAACTTTTTGAAGTATTCACTCAGATTCAGGGAAGCTGGAGCAGGGGGCTGCTTCAATCGAGGGCCCGTCGGCTGCCGCAGGGACCGGCCCACCCTGGCAGCCTGCCCTCCTGTCAGGCGAGCGGGCATGCCTTGCTGGTGGAGACCTTGCGAAGGTTTGCTTTTGTAGGGGAGGGAATACCATGGGTGATGGGCCTGGGCACTTGTGTCATTCAGATATAAGATCAGTGATGGGGACGCCAGCACAGTCATGTTGAGGGGACCCTCACGTGCAGCAGGGTGCTGCTGCTGGGCTGCCACGCAGGTGCAGTTGCCGGACAGGTGGACATGTCTCTCACTGGAGGCCATCAGAGGCTGAAGCAGGGGAGTCACATCAATTTCAGCCCATTTGTATTTCTTCCGAAATTCAAACTGTGAGTTCAAGGTAAGTGGGCGCAGAGTCTTGCCGGAAGGCCTTGGCTCCCTGACCAGCAGGCTGCACGTGCATCTGACCGTGCTGGAGACCACGCTGGTGAGGGTATACAACAAGACAGACTTGACCGGGAGTTCCACGGCGGTCACACGATCCAGCTTGAACAGCACGTCCACCGAGAGAGCCCACTGAGGCAGCCCTGAGGAGAGAGACACAGGGAGCGCCTGAGTGGCCCTCGAGCACACGGGGCGGCAGGGAGCTGGGGTGTGGAGGGGAGGATGGGCAGAAACAACGGCTGAGTTTGGGGCAAGGAGAATGGAAATCCGTGTAGTTTTGAGCACATTTTCTACAAACTTTCTGAAGATCCCTGCTAATTTGAATTATGCTCTGTCTCTCCTCTACCCCACTCCCTCTAGTCTCAAAAACATGGTGGGGAAGGGTTAACAAGGAAAACGTGGGCGGGCCCACTGGTACCACCGCTAAAGCCCAGCATCCCGACAGTTTATCTCCAGAAACTCGTAACAGCCTTGGTGCTGAACTGACGTTAACAGGGAATCATCAAATCCTGAGATTTCAGTCTGAACAATTTGCTCCAAACACAGAGGAAACTAATCAGGAAAGTTTCTTCCCCCCTCCTTGGAGAGCCTCGAGAGGGAAAAAAATGGAGGAACACCAACAGCCTTTTTCAAAAGATGCCTTCGGCACACGTGAATGAAGTCTACTGGAATTTCAGTTGTGCAAGTTAGAACACTCAGGACGGAAACCAGAGGACCTAAAGCCGCTGCAGAGAGTGAGGGAAGCAGGCTGGCTCTTCAGCCGCCAGAGCCCCACCAACCCCTGAGCTGTTCCTCTTCCCTTGCAGCAGTGCCTTCAACTAGCTGACCAGCACTGTCTCCTCACGGGGCAAACACGGAGAACACACCCTGTTTGATGCACACCAACAGGTGGGCACACAAACTTGTGGGTCAGCAGCTCGGCGGAACAGAAAATGATGGCAACCCTCCCTGCCAGTTCCTGTCTCCTTTTAAGTCAGCAAAGTCTGCTCTGGCTGCGACACTCTACCACGTAAACCCATCCTGACAATGAAGGAGAGCATTATGAACAAGTGGAAGGCCAAGTGCCTGGCTTGCTTGGATTGTGACTCTCATTCAAAGTAAAAGGCAATTCAAGAAGCAGGGCCCAACTCCCTTCCGTTGTCAAACTGCACAAACTTGTTACATGCTCCTGTACCCAATGACCCCCACCCCCCAAGCCGCTTACACACCTGTCACCTGGTGTCCAGGAGCCTTCTGCTGGACCCAGGGGGTAAAAAGCCGAACTGTGTTGTAGAGGTGTCTTCTGTTGGCTTTAGGAATACCCTCCTTGGTAGCGTATGCCTTGTAGAGTTTCTTCATGTAGTGCAACGCGCTCGAGTCTGGCTGCAGCCTGGGGGCCGCCCCTCGCCTGACAGACAGCACTCTGAAGAGAGGCGGAAGCAGGCCAGAGTGCTCTCCCCCACCCACGGGCTGCAGCAAGGACCAGGGCTCAGCCACAGACTCCGAGGCGGCGTTGGCGGCGACCCATGGCGCTCCTCTAGGAGGCTGAGAATCAGAACTAATTGGAAAGCACACGCAGGCAAAACAGCAAAACCAGGGGAGGAATCTGCGGGGCGGCGGCGCCATGGCTTGGGAGAACTGAGGAGGAAAACATTTCCCCCCGCCGGTCGGCTTCCTGAAGCTCGGGGAGGCCCCGGCTTGCTTTCTTAAACCAATTTTAGTTGTGTGCGTGGACTAGCCTTTCTTCTGTAATCAGACCTCAAGGACGCCTAGCTGAAGCTGATTTTTATCAGCTGGACGACACACAGCTGATGCCACCCTTAACCGACCCTCATTAGATCAGATTGATTTCATTATTTTGAATTGTTCTTATTTTTCCCTAACCACCCCCTGACAACACATTTACTGAAAATTTATCATTATAGTAAGGCTAGTTATGCAACTGAGTCTAGAAAAATTAGGGAACGATCTAAAAATTAAATCTCTCAGGGCTTGTGCCATGCCACAGTAAGCGAAGCTTCCACCTCCAGCTCCAGTCTCCACATGGGTGCTGGTTCTATTCCTGGCTGCTCCACTGCTGATCCAGCTCCCTGCTTATGGGCCAGGAAGTCAGTGAAGGATGGCCCAAAGCCTTGGGTCCCTGCACCCACAAGGGACACCCAAAAGAAGCTCCTGGTTTAGGATTAGCCCAGTTCTGGTTGTTGTGGCCACTGGGTGCTACGAACCAGTGGATGGAAGATATCTCTCTCCTTCTCTCTTTAACTCTGCCTTTCAAATAAAAATCTTAACTAGTGAAATAAATAAATATTAAAAAAAAACCCTAAATCTCTTTTTTTCAGGAGAGAAACCTTAGGACTCTTAAGATGCTGCTTACGCACTCGATGAAAGCTGCTGCAGAGCGCATGGAGAAGTTAACTATGCATGACAGTCAGCTGTGCTGGGACACAATTTACAGCGCTGGGCCGTGCCCTGACTCTGCTGCCCCCACCGCCAGGTGCCTGCAGTAAGTCATTCCTTCCTGCTTTGATCTGGAGGCGGAGCAGAAGTCTCAGTGGGCATGACCACTCCAGGGAGTAGAGAGTCGGCAGGCTGCTCAGTCCTGCCAGGCAACCTAGGATAAAATACAAATTGGGGCACTGCAACTACCCTGGCAGTGTACTTCAAAGAGACGGAAGTTCCCTTAAGTCTTGACTGACTTTTAAATCTAGCTCTTAAAGAAACCTTCAAGATCAAGTGGCCTTTCTTTGACCAGTCTTTTTGTACATAAACATTATGTTGCAAAGGTTTTGAGAAATTCGCAGATGCTGAAAAAATTTTAACTAGCCATGCAAATTGTGGCTGAATTCACTCCAGCATTTTTTCTCCTTGCCTTTTCTATTTTATAATCTTGCCTTGGGGCTGAGGCACGGCTGGTTGAAATGTTTTAGGAAAAGAGGTGAGGATGTGTCAAAAAAAGCTGATTCCCAGGACTGGCAGGGGAAATACGACGTACACGGTTGCTGGCAGAAACCCAACTTCCAGTCAGACACAAAACCGGTCTGTGCAGTGTCCAGGTTAATAAAGCTGATGGATGCTTGCAAATTAGGAGTGTACTGTTGGCCAAGCTCCCCTGGCTAGAGGCTGGTAAGCAAGGTTAAAAACTGCAAGGATAATCTCACACTCTCTCACACACACACACACACACTACCTACCTACCTACCTACCTACCTACCTACCAGGATGGGAGCTTAGTTTTAGATTCCCCTTGACCAGCAAACTTGCTAACACAACATGTACACACTTTGCACGCAGAAACAGAAGTCAGGGAGACGCATGCTCAGCCCCTGTCTTCCCCTGGTGCCCCTAGCCACTCCCAGGCCAGACCTCGGCCGCATGGTCGAGGCAGCCTCTTCCTCTACCACTGCCACCGAGGGGACTTACTGAGCACTTGGCCAAGATTCCACACTTTCTGAGGTTGCATTTGAGGAGATACTTTCTTTTTTTAATTAAAAAATATTTTTTCAACAGACATGAACATTGTGGATAGTTTTGGTGTTATATGTCTACATTGTTATAGCCAATTGGGATAAACAACTTTATCCTTCTAAGCATTTAACATTTCTTTACAATGAAAGCATCCAAATGTTATCTTTTAGGTTTTTTGTTATTAAACAGGGAACTACACAGTACATTATTGACACTTACCCAGCATACAAGAATCCCAGAACTTGTTATTCTATCCAGCTATGATCCCATACCATTAATCATCCTTTCCTATGCCTTCCCCCATCTCCTTTTTTGGCCTCTGGTAATGATTATATTTTTAACTTCTACAAGATCACCCACTTTTTAGATTCCATTATTAATGAGATCAAATGGCATTTGCCTTTCTGTGCTTGGCTTATTTACTTAACACGATGTCCTCCAGTTCTGTCCATGTTGTTGCAAATGACAAGATATCATCCTTCTTCATGGCCGAGTAATATTCTATCGTGTATATACCATGTTTTCTCTAGCCATTCATCAATTCATGGACACTTGGGTCTTTTCCAATGTAGTATAATAAAGACCATATGTATAAAACCAACAGCTAACACTGAATGCAGGACAGTTGAAGGCTTTCTCAGATCTGGAACAAGACAAGCAAGTCCTAGTAGGGCAGCTGGGCCAAAGAAACGAAGGACATTCAAATTGAAAAAGGGTGAGTTATGTTGTCACTGTTTATAGATGACATGCTCTTTTATACAGAAAACCCCAAGTGTCTATCAAAAACCTGTTAGAATTAACGGGTTTATTAGTCAAAGTGGCAGGATACAAAGCCACTCCACACAAATCAGTAGCAGGGGGTGGGGTGGCACTGTGATGCACACGGTTAGGTTGCCTTTGGGATGGCAGGTCGGTATCCCAGCTACACAGCATCCAATCCAGCTTCTACTAACACACCCAGAAAGGCACTGGGTGGCAGCCCAAGTCTGTGGAAACCACAGTTTCTGGCTTTTGACTGTTGTGGCCACTGAGGAAGTGAGCCAATAGATCCAAGATCTATGTCACTCTGTTTTTTAAACAAATCAGTTTGCAAAAATCAGTGGTTGAGGGCTAGTGTGATGGCTCAATGGGTTAATCCTCTGCCTGCAAGGCCCACCATCCTATGTGGACGCCAGTTCATGTGCTGGTTGCTCCAGTTCTCATCCAGCTCCCTGCCTGTGGCCTGGGAAAGCAGTCAAGGATGACCCAAAGCCTTGGGACCCTGCACCCACGTGGGAAACCACGGAGAAGCTCCAGGCTCCTGGCTTCATATCGGCTTAGCTCTGGCATTTACAGCCACTTGAGGAGTGAACCAGCAGATGGCAGATCTTTCTCTCTGTCTCTCCTCCACTCTGTATATCTAACTTTCCTATAAGAAAATAAATCTTAAAAAAGTAAATATTTTTAAAGAAAATGAGATTTAAAAAAAAAGAATACTAAAAGCATTGCTCATTCACATGTAGAAGAATGAAACTATCTCACTGTGTACAAAAGTCAACTCAAACGAATGAAAAGACTTAGACAGTGAAATCATCCACTTATTCAGAGGCAAAAAACAGCTCAGGACTCTGGACGGTCAACGATTTTCCAGATACCTGATAGCACAGAAAATAAAAGCATGTAAGCTAACAAAACAAGAAGTGCGATTTCATCCAACAATTGAGGGTTTTGTACAGAAAGCCACAGAAACAACACTTGCAAGCTGTACGCCTGACAAGGAGGTAATATCCAGAACACGTAAGGAACTCAGCAGCCAACCAACAATCCAATGAAAATCTCGGCAGCTCTTCATAGGCAAGCCTAAGGAAGGTGTACAACCGGCCAACAGGGGTGCCCAACAACGGCCAACCCCACCACGGGAACTGCTGCTGGGGATGGCAAAACAAACAGCACTGGAGGTGCCTCAAAAGAGCTACAACCAGAGCTCCCTGGAGATCGAGCAAGTCCAACCCGACTTTGCATTCCCAGGGCACTGGAAATCCGAGCGTGTGAGGCGGGCCGAGACCCGGCGCCTCCGCGCCTGCTGAGACCGCGTCACGGCGTGGGGGAAGGCGGCAGCCCGCGTGCGGAGCCCTGGCAGAGCCTACCGAGGCCCTGGGACCCTGGCGTCGGCGACCCTCACGTTCTCCTTGCCCTCCCTGTCCGGGTTCCCGGCACCCTGGCCGCCTCCTGGCCGGGACCCCACAGACGCGCCGCGCTCCCGGGACACAACCAGGCGCAAACGCCGACGCACCCGGAGGACTCGCCCACCCAGCGGCCCAGCGCCCAGCGCCCGGCCACTTCCCTGAAAGACAGGGGACGAAGGCGTCTTCCCCTGGAAACATCTAGAACATGGTACCCTCCGGAAGTGACTTCAGGGCCTCCGCGAGAGCCGTCGCCTATCCTGCCGGAAGTGACGCAAGGCGGCGACAGCGGCGTCCGGCTCGTAGGATTTGGAGGGCGAGCTGACCCCGGTGCGGCGGTCGGGGGGCACGGGCGGCTGGTGGCGGGGGTCCCGGGAGGGTGAGGGGCTGTGGCGCGTCCCGAGGCTGAGCCAACGCTCCCTGTCCGCCTTGGGTTCCGTAGGGCCGCCGCGACGATGGGCCGCGAGTTCGGGAACCTGGCGCGGGTGCGGCATGTCATCAGCTACAGCCTGTCGCCCTTCGAACAGCGCGCCTTCCCGCACTTCTTAAGCAAGGGCATCCCCAACGTGCTGCGCCGCTCCCGGGCGTCCGTGCTTCGCGTGGTGCCGCGTGAGTGCGCGGGGCGGGGGGCTGGACGCGCGGGAGCTTGTCCCGAGCTGCCCCGGGTTGCCCCCACGGACCTACTTGTAGGGCTGGGCTGGCCTGAGGTCACTTAGGGGCGCCCCTGCAGGTCACGGCCGTTCACCTGCCCTTAGCGCTGATGCAAGGGTGTCTTGCGTGTTGGGATGTGCAGCAGAACGTCCTGAGCGGGGCGAGGTGGCAGCGACCCTGTGGCACATCTTCCTGGGAAGGAGGGTCCCCCCCCAGCCCCCGGCTTTGTTTGGGTCACCCTTACTGTGGATGCGGGCAGCTCCTGTCTGGAGGCCGGTGTCCAGGAGGCCGGCGTGGCGTGTCGGCCCTGTGCTGACTGTGTTCCCCGCTCTGGGTCCTCCCAGCGTTCGTGGTGTTCTATCTGGTCTACACCTGGGGAAACGAGGAGTTTGCCAAGTCCAAGAGGAAGAACCCAGCTGACTTCGAACATGACAAGTGAGCAGCTCTGGGGCCGGCAACGTGGAGGCCTGAAGGTGCATCCGGCGTTTCTGTGAGCAGACTCTGGTGTGACCCTGATTCCTGCAGCTCCGCTCCTCAGCGTGAACCCCGACGGCATCCCGGTGGTGGAGGGGGGTGTAGGTGTCACCTTCTGATCCCATGATAATAAACTCTGACAAGTGTGTTGTAACTCTCATAACGTCCTCAGGCCCCTTCTTGGTGACACAAATGAACTTGTACGTCTCACACCTGCCTGGCACTGAGAAGTAGTTTGCCCATAGTTACACACGGTGGAGTGTGGCCCCCGAGGGTGTGTTCTTAGCGCGAAGCTGTGAGCACTTCTGCTGAGGTGAGCCGGAGCTGGAGGAGGAAGGCAGCTGACAAGGGA